TATAGCGCTTCAAGAGAAAATCCCGATCAAATATTTGAAGTTTTGAACAATCAGGACCGGTCCGAAAATTTTGGGGGCCCAAAGCAAAACCTAATAAAAATTTAGGTTTTTGTGTTTATTTAAAAAAAAATCAAGACTACAACATAAAAATTTAAAATATGAGGGTTTTTTTTGTAAAATAAAAAAATTGGGAACCTCGCTTCAGGCCCGGTCGTGTGAAAAATAACCGGATAGTACTCGATCGGACTCCTTAACGTGGAACATACCCATTATATCAACTTTATGTATTGATTACTGATAACAAACGTCTAATTTAAGGAAGACTTGTAAATTATTATTAGTATTTTTTTTGTTAAAGAAAGACTTGTAAATTGAACATGCAGACTACCACAATATTTTATTCGTGATTTGTTTTAACGTCATTGAAATAATTTTTAGTAGATTATCTATCCTATATAACACTGTTCTATCTCAAATACGTTTAACTGTAAAAAAATTTAGATTAATTAGTTACAGAAAATTTAAACACTATTCTGTGATATAAATAGAGAAATATTGGCAAGAAAAAGAAGTCAAATTAAATCCTTTAATTTTTTCTACCGACACTTATCTAAGAACATAGAAGTATTATTCTAACTATTTTTTCTTTCTTTACTACAGACTTCTAGCTACAATAACACCGATAAAGATAATTATTCAAACAAAAATATAGCTTCCTTGTAACACTTTCAGGTAATAAAAATGTCGTTGACGAAATTGTCTAATAGTTTAATGTTTCTTATTACTTCTAATTTAACTTAGCTAGCCCGTAGGCATCATATCTTTTAAAATGTATATATTCGTTTGATCATATTTAGGTGAGAAATTATGGTTGATATTGCCCAGACTATTCGTAGTTTGGTGAGGGTAGATTAGAAATTGATTAAGAAAAGTTGAGCAAATGATATGATCTTAAACTTTTTTGATCAAATATATTAATTGCTTATTTGGTTTTGTTGACAAACTCTTCTTTGACCGCCAAACTTTTAGCTGCCGCCTTCCCGTTAATTAAAGTTGGCCAACTTCAAATTTGCTATACAAGCAAATTAAGTAATATTATAGCTTTACAGTTCAGACCAATTAAATTTAAAACATGAAGATTATCTAGGTTAATTAAGTAGGTGGATATTATGGGCCTTGCATATTAGTACATTCAATATAATGTCTCTTTTTTTTTTTAATTACTTCATCTGCCAATGGATCTTGCATTTAGTACTCTAAAAATATGTTTACTGCTTCGGACAAAATATTGAGACAAATACTTGGGCCGCTAGCTAAACATGTTCAAAGTGGATAAAACTTGTAGACAAATATTCCTGAAATTCCAAACATGGTTCTTCATTGTTTTAACCTTTTAGGGATGAACACAGTTCGGATATTAAAACCTGATTTACACTTGAAAATTAATTTTAAATACACCATATTAACCTGAATATTCTGAGTCTCCGTAGAAAAATCTGATTGTTTCTGGATCTGATATCCAGGCTAAGTTGTTTAGACAATATTTTAATTAACCAAAAAACAGGTTTAAATTTTATTTTATGATTGATTAGTAAAAACATGAATAAATAATTATACCAAATTATGAATTTTGTAAAAGTTTGTATAAAAACTATCACAATCGAAAAAATATAATGTATAATATTGACCTAGTTATAAGAACACTAAC